CCTTGTACATGAAGTTCTCCATGAACTTGCAGTCCCTGCTCACCAAGAACTGCTTGGTGAATGGGTCCCAAAGAAGCCATCCCTTGCTGTTTTGAGCCATGCCCAAGTGCACGGCCCACACCGCCTTGGCACCAAGCTTGTTGTGCCGAAGATGCTTAGGCACGAGCGCCATGCACATGCACCCGAACACCCGAAGCATATCCACCTTTGGCTTCCTTCCTAGCCACTCCACATAGGGCACCCATTTGTCTGCTCCCACATGAGTCAAGGCTCTGTTCTTGGCCACACACGCGCTCCGCACCGCATCAGGCCAGAAATAGTCGGGTAGCCCGGCTTCAATGAGCAACCCGCGTGCCGCCTCCGTGATTGTGCGGTTCGCTCGCTCGGCGATGCCGTTCATTGCAGGGGAGTATGGCATGGTGAGGGAGTGCCGAATACCATTCTTCTTCAGCCACAACCCAAACTCCTTGCTCAAGAACTCTCCCCCTCGATCGGTGCGGATTGACTTGACTAGACGGTCTTGTTGCCGCTCCACCATCGGGAACCAATCCGTCTTCAACGTTTCAGTCGCTCTTCTTGGCCAGCACGTACACCCAAGTCATGCGGGTGTAGACGTCGACAATGGTGAGAAAATACTCAGCTCCAGCAGCTCCAAGCTTCAGGGGGCCCACCACGTCCATCACCACCTCATCAAGCGGTGCCTTTGCCGTTGCCTCCGAACTAGGGAACGGAAACCGGGTGAACTTGGCTTGAATGCACGTCGGGCAGCCAAGCACCTCATCGGGCTCCCCCTTCACACGTATGCCAGCAACCATCTCATTCTTCACTAGCTGCTGCAAGATGGGCAGGGCCACATGCCCCATGCGCCGATGCAAGGTGAGCCAATCACACTCCCCCGTAGCCGAAGTTGGATTGGAGAATGCCGCGCTCGCAATAGCGCCCCACATACTCTCTCCGTAGTCCTCTTCCACTGCTGCCTCTGGGTTCTCCTCACCCTTTTGCTGCTCCTTGGTTGCTGCACCACTCTCCTTAGGTTCACTGAACTTGCTGGTCCCTCCAGGTTTGCTCTTCTTGAGCTCATTCTCCTTAGCGCGACCGTTCGCGCCATCGTCGCTACCGACCGCTCCATCCTTGGTGCTGATGCTTGCTGCCACTTGCCTCTCCTTAGGCATAGGGACCACTGGGATCTGCCACATCTCGTTGTAGACATCCCTGTCCTCATGAAGGTCCCAAAGAATTCGATCGCCAAGCCTTGCGGTGTAGGTCTTGGCTCCCTTCGAGTTCGTGTCCATGCCGGCCTTTGCCAACCGCCGCACGGAAATCAGGTTTGCAGCAAGGCTGGGCACCCAAAGCACGTTCTTGAGGCCCACCATCTTCCCATCAGCACCCTTGAACATGGCCTTGCCCATGCCTTTCACCTCTGCTCGCTGCCCCAAAGCCGATGTGACATGCTTCACCGGTGACGGCTCGAGTTCGGTGAGCAAGTCCGGGCGAGGTGTCATGCTATAGGTAGTGCCACTATCAATCACCCAATAGTCCAGGGGGTGTAGGGTCACCTTCCCCACAGCTGCTGGCTCCTCAAAGCCTTCATCCTTCTCTGGACCAGCCGGTACTTGCGTCGACACGAAGTAGAATAGACCCGGGTATCGATCGTCGCTCGGGTCCTTGTCGTTGTCTCCGCTCTTCATGTTTGCAGCTCCGCCACCGCGACCGCCACGGCCTCCACGGCCTCGTCCTCTCCCTCCTCCTGCTCCTCTACCCTCTTGGCCTTGAGCAGGGGTCCAACCATCAGGGAGTTTGTAGCAGTCGCGCCACATGTGTCCGCTCTTGTGGCAATAGTGACACTCGCCGTCGAATCGGCCGCGACCGCGTCCGTAGCTCTTGTCGTCGCTGCCGTAACCGCCACTCCTGCGGCCTCCGCCGAAGTTGCTGCCACCAAACCTTCCTCTCCCTCGTCCTCTGCCTCTTCCTCGACCATATCCACGGCCGATGCTCGCTGCCCCAGCGCCATCCGCACTCGCCAACTCACGGCGGCGGAAATCCTCTTGAAGGATAGCTCGCTTCACGTCTTCAAGCGAGAGGCGGGGCAAGTCGCGATTAAGGTTGATGATGAGTGAGGACCATGACTCAGGGAGTAGGGCCAGCAACTTGGTCTTCTTTTGGAGCTCACTATAGTTCAAATCAGCTCCCTCAAGCCGCGTCAACAAGTCGAAGAATTTCTGCACCCCTTCTTCAACCGCTTCATCCTCTTCAATTCGTAGTGTCGCCATTTGCCGTTCCAACACCACAGCTACCGCCGCTGTTGCAGGAGCGTGTACACCCTTGAGAGCAGCCCATGCCTTTGGTCCCTTCTCTGGTTCACACTGGAAAGGCTTGATGTGACGGATCTGGCTGCTCCCCAACGCTTGCCCTAGTAGGAGGTAGCCTTATGCGCTCTTCCGCACCCACGGGCTCTTCTCCGGGTCGTTCTCGGGGCGCTTCTCCGTTCCTTCCATCACCTCCAGCAGGTCATAGTGATCAAACACGTTCTCCATTCTGAAGGACCACTCAGCAAAGTTGTCACCGTTGAACTTGTCAAGGCCAAACACTCTAGGCTCGTCCCTAGATGGGCCAACACTTGGTTACACGGGCGCCATGGCTGAGTCACGGGGTTGGCCTTGAGCTTGGGCTTCTCCACTGCCACCAGCACCTCTGCCACCCCTTTCCTCAGGTCCAGCAATTGTCGAAACTGCTCCAAGGGGCTCTGATACCACTTGTTATAGTCACAGTAGGCTCCAATGTGCCTAAAACGAAAGATAGAGTGCACAGTCGGATTTCTGCACAGCGGCTTCAAACGTTCATAGCGTTCTGGTCACAGCTTCAAATGACTTGATTCAACTTGGATCTGGAGCGTCTTATTGTCGCCTACAATAGGCAATTGAGATCGCACTATTTCACCAAGTATTGACGACACAGCGTCAGTTTGAACGAACGGCACTATGGCAGCCATTATAGTCTTAGAACACAAGATAGGAAGAGTTAGGAAGAGTTACGAGTTGGGAATGACTCCCAGCTCCTACAAACCCCAAGAGCCGAGGTACAGTGATGTGGAACAGTGCCACACTGTCCCCAACCACGAAGGGTCTCGAAACTACCCTTCACTAGGGCCTACACCAAGTGAAATGTTACACTACACAAAGTAATGTAACTATCTTCAATATCTTGAGGTGTACCCTTTTGGCAAGCTTCGAAATCACTTGAGGCTTGACACCAAGGCTCGGGCTCTTCATCACAAAATCATTCTTGAGTTCTTGATGGGTCTGCTGCACACACCTGCGACACACGGAACGTTCGACACAGGACAAAATAGAAACCGCGCACGACAAAATAGAAACCGCGCGCGAGACACAAACGACCGCGTAATACGCGTCTAGCGATAACTCGCTATTGACTCGACACACACACTCGACATCATGACTCAACATTCACACACAATTATAAGCATGAAATATATATTATCCCATGCCCTCATACCATTCCATACACACACACATGCACGCACACGGACAACAAGCCGAGTGCAAACCGTAGGGTTGCACCAACACCGAGGGAGTTGGACAGACACACACACGACAGCTGCTGCCGTGCACCTCCTTTCTATCTTCCCGTTGTGCTCCCCCGCTCACTAGCTTGGCATCTTCCTCTCCCTTTCCATCCTTTCTATCCTTCCTTTACACCATGCTCTCGCACAGAGGGAGCTGGACGGGCGCACGTACTATGACTTTGAGTTTGTGGCGCAGGCATCCAGCTACACTCGCCACGCTCTTGGCAAAATCACCATTGCCAACGGTACGTGCTGCGGCAAGCTTGCTGCATGTACAGTAGCAGCAGACTGCAGGGGCAGAGAAGATGGTAGAAGTAGGGGCCGAGTGGAATCTCTGTTGGTTTTACACTTGTGGGATGATAGCCACTCGGTAGCATTGTCCTGCACTTTTCTTGTGTATGGTACTGTATCCTTTCTCTGGCTGAATCTGTGTGTGTGTGTGTGTCTGTGTGTGTGTGTGTGTGTGTGTGTGTGTGTGTGTGAGTGTGTGTGTGTGTGTGTGTGTTTGTTTGTGGTCGTGGTGCAGGCAAGTTCTACACGCTGACAACTGGGGAAAATGAGCGTCGCTGGAGCAAGGTGAATGAGAAGCTTCGCACAGTGGTGGCTTCATTTGTCACTCTATAGACTTAAGCAGGATCGCTTGTCTTGTGGTGTCTGTGTGTAAGTGTGTGGTGGGGGGGACACATAAGAATAAGACAACAAAGCATGTGTCTGGTGGTTGATGTGTATGGTAGATAATATATTTTGGTTTCAGAGAATTGAGGTGGCTTGATCACCTGCTTAACGAATCGGATGTTTTCAGTGTATCAATTGCACACTACACTTGCAGCGAAGATTCCAGTCGGTGCTGTATTCATGGAGGTGGTCTTCGTGACAGGTCAAACAGGCCCTGAGTCTTTGCTAAAACCTGCACCAGCACCAAAACCTTATGACTCTTGAGTCATGCCTGAACTGATAAGCTATTTACTGCCCTGATAATTAGAGAGATTGGTGATGAAAAATAGAGATCAGTGATGAGACGTACGTTACTTCATTTGGGCTTCTGTACACAATATGGTACATGGAATCAAAGCGAGCAATGTGCTATTGGGAAAGGTAACACTCCACATTTGCGCTATTATACTGCACAACCATTTGTGTACATGTTTCATGACCTTATGTAAGATTGTCCTGCATAATGGCTCCTGGCACAGCTTTGAAGGCACCTCAAAGAAGCCCCTAGGGCCTGATATGAGTAGCATAATTTAGTCAAAGGTCAACTCAGAATGTCGATGGTACGCAAATAGACCTTGCTCCTACAATACCAGAGCAAGACCTACCATTGTAGTTGCAAAACTGTGCAGTTGCGGTTGAGGTAGTTCCACCATAGAAGCGGTAAGCACCTGAGCATGGCATTGATGGCTGCACAGGCTTGATCCTACCCTTCTTGCATATCCCCATCGTGAACGACCAGTACTCTGCTGTGAGGCAAATCTGGGATCATAGAAGCATGGGACGGAGCCTCAGGAATAACTAAGGTTGGCGGAGAAACCGAAGCAGACTAACAAGGGATGCATCATAGTTGCACGAGGTCTTTCGGGAACAGTGCAAAGCTCTCTTACCTTTGCCCACCATTCCGTGCTCCCCCATCCCAGAGAGTTTCCCCCCAGCCCTCACAGTCCGCACCTGTACACCAATGTTGCTGCCGACAGCGGAGGCAGAGGAAGGGATAGTGGCAGAGCAAGTGAGGCCAGGATTGTTGCGGTACAGTGCAGCCCATTGATTCTCAATGGCACTGACACCTCCTGGTGAAGTGCCAGTCCTCTGAAGCAGCCGCTCGCACGTGTCTTGGGGTGTGAGCGTGCCGTATCTCACACACTCGGGTACGGTGAATGCGAAGGCAGCACTGCGCTCGATGCACACGGAGCGGCCGGCTTTGATGGGCTTGGAGCAGTCAAGGCCGGGGTTGAGTGCGGTGAGATCAGGTTCTGTGAAGTTGAGCGGTCTGCTGATGTAGGCACAGGTGTCCCCCTGTAGGGTTGGAGAGAGGCAAGAATAGGGATGCACAGATGATTGGATCTTGCTCACTTGCATTGACAATCATGCAATATGTTGAGCTGAGAAGGTGAGTTGGTTGGGTGAAAGCGGCAGGTCTCACATTGAGGGAGTAGAAGAAGGCAGTGCAGGGTGTGGCAGGAGTACCATCCAGCTGAAGAACACTGCCCTTGGGCAACGGCTGGCTGAAGTCAATGCCCTGAAGTAGGAGACACGTGCATGGAAAAGAGTTTTGTATGGGCAAGGTCACATGGGCAAGGTCACATGGCAGGACCTTCACTCCTTTCTGGGACTTTGGTGAGAGTAGGGTCGTCACTCCTTGATACGCAATAGAACATTCTAGGAGTCTTCTTGTCAATGAAAAGCCGGAACAAGGAAGTGAGATGTAACCGGTGGCGTTTTGAGAAAACCAAGTGAATATGGAAAGTGCAATTCAAATGACGGATGGTGGTTGGCATATAACAGCATCACCTCTTCACCTCATCACTTACTATGTTTTGGTCAGTGAAGTCAATCAGTGAGAGGCCAACAAGGGGATGAACATCAGAGCACCACCAGTTGTCACCACTGACTGTCATTGTGGTGGCCGTGGTGTTGGCTGCAGACAAGAAATGGGAGTGAGAGAGAGGCATTGAAAAAGAGTCAGAGAGCAATTTAAGATTTGCAGAAACAGAAGAAAAAAGAAAAGCAAAATAGACCTACAGACATATTTAATCCCCCTACTTGGATCGCAGGTGGGGAAGCCGTCAATTGTTGTGCTCTGAACGTGGTTGGGAGGGCAGACGCAGGAGTAGGAGCCCTTGCCATCATTGATGCATGCTCCCACGTAGCAGGGGTTCTTGAAGTATGACCCACACACGTCCACTGCCACACGTGCACCAGGGTGGGTGGGTGGAGGATAGTACAGAGATTGTAGACGGTGGATTTTGGAAGACCCACACACGTCCACTGTCACACGTGTTCCGGGGAGGCGGATATTACAGAGATTGGGGAAGGCGGATATTGGAAGATGTAAGTTATCTTTTGAGTCGACAAAATATTCTTGAAGTATGACCCACACACGTCCTGTGCCACATGTGTGCAGAGATTGAGGAAGGTGGAGATTGGAAGAAGAGAGTCAGTTTATGAGTGGACTCAAAAATCTTACAGACTGACCCACACACGTCCACTGCCACACGTGTTCTGGGGTGGGTGGGTGGCTTATGGTGCAGAGCATTGAGACAGATATGGTACTTCAGATAAAAATGAGTGGGAAACTAGGGGAAAGAAGAAGGGGTATATGGGCTGTGCACTCCCATCCAGCCAGACGGCAACCAAACCTCTGGCCCCTGCAGCTTGGAGACTTCTTACACACATCGGAAGTGGGCCAGAGTACCAACTTTGCAGAGCACAGAATTTTGAGAGGAGTCTTGTTTCTCACCTCGTTGCCCTCGTTCTCTATGGCAACCATCGCATACATTTGAGAACTTATGCATGCTAAAACAGCCAGACAAACTTCAGCGAGAGACCAACCTACTTGCCCTTCTACTCATCTGCCCAATTGCTGCAGAACTCACCATAAGCACATGTGTTGGAGCCGTATCCATTCTCAACCTCCACAAAGGGCTGCACAGGAGCAGTGGGAATATTGCAGGTGCAGATGTTGGTGGTCTCTGTCGTCCCCTGGCACTGGAAGCGACCGCACGGGTTCATGCTGGGCTGCGAATCCCCATCGCCCTTGTAGCTGCTCTGGCCGCAGGGGTCGCCTGGAACAGGGAGGTGTCAGAGAGGACACACTTGAGGAACATGAGAATGAAGGTTGGCAGTCGCCAGCTAACAAACAGCTAACAAGTATCCACAGTGGCGAAGCGCCATTCAGTGCACATGTAACAGGTATGATGCCATGACCGACCACCCACTAGTGGAAGAAAATTCAGATTCTCGGCTTGCTTGCAGAGTGAAACAGGGCCACTTAAGAACCCCTTACGTGCTTTGTAGTATGCCACCCTTGCTTGGTAATGAGGTGGATATGACCGAGTAGATATGACTTACTCTTGACGATAGGGTAGATGCCAGGTAGCACGTTAATGCCACACACGCCATCCCCTCCCTGAATGTCCATGCGCATGTGCCCTCTCTTGCCCCACTCCTCTCCCCACGAGTTGCGGATGATCCAAAACGGAGGAGCAATGCGGTTCTGGCTGCCATCGTTTCTTGTAATGAAGTAGCCAATAACAAGTACAACGTGGTTGAGATTGCCCGTGTAGCAACCAGGATCCTGGTACTTGAATGTCTGAATCGAAATGGGGCGACAACGAACATAGATGAGGAGTTCAAGAAGCAGAGTCCTATGGGTATGAAGAAGCTGTGGAAGGGGTGACAGGAGGAAGCACTGCAAAGTGATGGTACTTCGTCTGTACGATCCAAAATCATAGCATAATAGCACCAGGAGTATCTGCCATATAGGCGATGACTCTCAACACAAGGACCGCACATCACAGTGTCCAATGCATGAGACTGAGTGAGAGTTTCAGCGACTCACCCCATCATACAGCATAAAGGTTGGAGACGCCTCAATGTGAACCACCACTGGCTGCCGCTGCACTGCCAGCATGAGCCCCACATACCCCTTGAACTGCGCTCGTTCAAACGCCTGCACCGGATATGTTGTTGCCTGGGACCACGAGAGGGAAGCATTGTTGGACGAGAGGGCAGCATTGTTGCATTGCATGGGAAAAGATGGGAAGTAAATTAGTTTGGGGGGGCTTGGCAGAGTTATGAAACTAGAGAGCGGTGCAAATGGTGCTGATAGTGCTGTTGTTGCCTGGGACTACGAGAGGGGCAGCATTGTTGGATGGGAAAAGATGGGAAGTGGGTTAGTTTGAGGGGGCTTGACAAAGTTGTGAAACTAGAGAGTGGTGCAACCGTGGCTCCTCCTGATGCAGGGCACACGGAATAATTTCCACCATGGCAGATGGTGGTTTTACGAATCAGCAACCAATCACTCGGCCAAGTATAGAAACTCTCCTGACTGATTGGATGAGGTGATTTGGCTTCTAGTTTCAAGCCCAAGAGCATCCAAGCGGGCAAGGTGAATTACCCTCCACAAATCCCACACCCATAAACCTTTGATGTCTTTATCCCACCTCACATGATACATACTACGTCTTCATTCTGTTTACCCTACCGGGTCACTGTCAACTGTGAGACCACTGGCGGCATCGAGAGCTGTGAGCGTCTCAAAAGCCTGGGTGGGGGAGCCGCCAGCAGAGCACTTGTCTGAATCAGTGAGACCCATGAGCGCAAAGAGACCCTCCACTGACAGCCGAGGAGCGCTCTGCTGCTTTGCAATGCCGTATGCCGCCTCCACACTCGCCACCACCGCATATGCCCAGCACGCATCTGAGCAGGAAAGGTAAAGCATTCAGTCAGGTTGGAGTGACGAAGAAAAGCAGGCTTTGAGTTACAGTATATAAGGTTCCTTGTCTTGATTAGGTGTAGACTTCTCATCTCTCTAACCTGATCAATCCAAAGTCTTGACAATTTGAATGGAATCTCCAGCATTTGTTTTGTTGAATCCTATTTTTGTACTTTACTTACTGCAGTGAACACACGGAAGTGAAAATATTGTGATTATCTTTCCACTCACTGCAGTCATTTTGGTTCTTGACAGGCCAGTTGAGGAAGGGCACATTATCCCACGTGTGGAAGTCACGAATGCTCCACGAGTCCGCTTTGGTGGCCGACAGCTTGAAGTCAGCACTCACATAGCGCGAAAAGGGACTGGCTCGAGATGGTGCAAATGTGGACTCTGACAATGAGAGGCCGAGGGCTGTGAGGGGTGGGTGGGAAGGGGTGGAGATGAAGGGAGATGTGGATGGGTAGTGGTTGAAAGGCATGGCACGGTCTGGACCTATGATGTCACAATCACTGAACCCAATTCCTTGCAAGCTCCAATTGATTGCAAAGAAGTTTGACATGTGAGAAATTGATTGTTGTGTGTGTGTGTGTGTGTGTGTGTGTGTGTGTGTGTGTGTGTGTGTGTGTGTGTGTGTGTGTGTGTATGTGTGTGTATGTATGTGTGTGTGTATGTATGTGTGTGTGTGTGTGTTACAGAGCATATCAGAAATGATTTGACACGTATAAGACGGGAGTTAGAAGCAATCTTCAATGACCTCGGCTGAAACCGCCAAGTTTGCTGGTGAAGCGAGCAAGACGCTTGTTGGTGACCCACTTGGCGGAGTGAAGGTACACACATTCCAGACACAGTCTCCAATGGGAAGGCAGGACTTGAAACTGCGGAGGAGCCTTTACAATGGATGGTGAAGTCGGTTCTTGGAAGAGGTATGTGTTGACAGGAGTTGGCCCTCGCTTGGGCGAAGCCGACTTCACGGTCGGGTGCGCAAGAGGTGCAGCCGACCGCCTGCAGTGGTCGACGCCGACCTGGGCGAGCAGTTCGACAAAGTTGGTCGACCTGCGGGAGACCACTGCGACGCCGCCGACGACGGGAAGCCGACGGCCAACTTCAAATGGGTGGTCGACGAAGGAGGCCGTCGACCGGAGGGCGCCGACTTGTGGACGCCGACCGACGGGGCCGAGGACGTTGCGCGGCCTATTGTGTAACGAGGGCGACGAAGTTCTGCGGAGGTGCGCGGTGGCCTGGTGATTTTGGTGAAGTCGACCTGCGAGGTGGTATCCCGAGGTTGATGTGGCCCACTAGGCGCAACCATCGGCACGTGGCCGACTTGGCACCTACGCAAAGTTCGTGGCAATGCACGACGTGCACAACATCTACAAGCACCTACGGCACACATGCACTTACAGTCACCTGGGGTTGCAGCGTTGCAGTGTTCGTAAGCCACCTTGGTGCAGTATTGGCAAGCCGCCGACTTGCTCTGTTGGCAGGCCGCCTTTCAGCAACGCTGGCACGGTGCCAACCTGCAGTTCTGGCAGGTCACCGACTTTGCTGCGCTGGTGGTCGACCTGCCTGTGTGCTATTGCATATGATGTAGTCATTGTTGCGTATATCATTCTTGCATAATTGTATCCAGCTTTTGCTAGTGAAATTCTTGCCAAACTTTCCCTGTGAATGCGGATGTAGATAGAACACAAGCAAACACTACGACCATTCGTACCACGCGTGCTTCCTACCGTAGTTCAGCTCCCGGTGTACAGTGACTCTCCACAGTCTTGCCTTGCTTGGGGAAGACAGTTTCCAGCTGCTCGAGCTCCCTATGGGTTGTCTGCACCTTGGTGACGTAATCAACCATCCCCCTTCGGAATGCACAATCAAAGCTAGCTCAGCTTTTCTCGGTGGTTTTGCACGTAGATTACTAACAGTGACCGATGGCGACGTGGTGGGGAAATTATGGACGATATGCGAGCAAAATAAATGTCTGAACATATAGAAGGTTCTGTGTTGCCACATGACATGTAGCTCACCTTGCTCCTTGGTCTGGACGACCTTGGATGCAGGGGCGCCTGTTGAGGAAAACACAAGACGAAAGATAAGCACAGAAGCCAGAGAGTGGGGGTTGGGTCTTGGATAGGGAGAGAGCCACCACAAGAGTGGGTAGCAAAGGCAAGCTCGTGCTAAATAGCTACCACTAACCACCATGCGATAAATGCCTAGCCATGGCAGGAGACACAATCATCAGTGCCCAGCAAAGACTCGACTGAAAACCCATTACATAGCGTATTGTTCATCAGAGATGAGTCAAGGCTTGAACCCAAATTGGCTCGAAAGGAACCGAGTTGGGCCAGAGGGATGGTCGAAACGAACCCGAACGGGTTCAAGTCAAACATGTTGATTTGGCCGAACCGTTCAAGTTCGGTTCGACCCAGCGTTCATGCCAGATTTTGGAAATGAAAAAAAAAAGGGTACGAGAGGAAGTTGGAGTTTGAACTTCTTTCTTGGACCGTAGAAGTAGATCCCGCACAATCCAAACCTCACGAGTTGATTCGTCGTTCTTCGAAATGCTTCATATGAATGAGGAATGAAAGTGAAAATACCCTAGATCGAATTCTTATTCCTGCCTATTTCTCATCATAAACCATTGCCATCACTACCAGCAACCATCCACCACCACCACCCCGAATTTATCATCAAGGCAGTCAGCGTCATCCCACCTGCCCAGAATAGCCTTGCCTATTTGTACAGCGGAGAAGAGAATGCCATGCAGCTGGAAAGCAGTAGACGCCGTGAACCCAAACGAGAACGCGGCACGCTGCTGCTTCACCCGCGGCCGCAGCACAGTACACAGCGACACACCCTTCTGCAGCAGCAGCGGCTCCTCTGGCTTTTCGTTCGAGCTCGCCAAGAAGACTCGAAAGGTGCCCGGATCCCCAGGCTCATAATCCACCCACGCTGTGTATGCATCGCCATCCGTGAACATGAATGGTGAAACCTTCGACACCACAGGTTCCCCTTTACCATTCATGTTCAGCCCCACGCGCTGGTGACTCTCTTTGATGTCAAATGTAACGGCTATGCTCCGAGCTCCCATCCCGCTGTACCCCACACCTCCTGGTTTCCCTGCCTTGGCCGTTGCGGCAATCACAAACGCAAAGCCGCTGGGCCCCGCGCGACCAGAGTGGCGCTTGAGAGCAAAGGTGAAGTTGGCAGTGAATGCCAACTCCAAGCCACATCTTGAGGTCACACCAGGCGGGTAGATGAATAGGGTCACAGGCTTTCCTGCAAACTTCCCCACTGTTTCCTGCTGTGTTCCCTTGGTGAGAACCGTGAATGGTGGGAGAATTCCCCTTGAGGTGGCTGGAGAGTTGCGAGGGAAGGGCAGCGGTGCATGGGGCAGAGGAAGGATGGGAGTGAGTGGGAGGAGAGCATCGGAATGTGTATGTGTTAAGTTGTGCAAATCGGATCATATGGTCAAACCTTATGGGAGCGACGTCCGTAGATATGGGTCTGTGCCTTGACTATGGTGATGGCACCATGATTCAGCATGCTCAACAAGTATGATTAGCCTGCGGTAAGTGCAGCAGAGCATGGTTTAACTAGATGTGTGCGAGCTACAAAGTAGAGGAAATGGATAGAAAGTGCATCACTTAGGAGCACCAAAACTACGACGTCCTTAGACTCAGTGCCTTATTCTTCTTCGTAAAGCATAACATGCGACTAGCATGCTACAATCGCTGCTCACCTCCTGTGAATGAGACACAGCGGAGTAATCCAAACTGCTTGGACCGTGCACCACACAGGCACGTTGGCACCAAACTGGGCCCGTCTGGGTAGCACACGCCACGACCACCACAGGCAGCAGTGGTTGGAGAGACGCCACAGAAAGCCAGACACTGCGCTGGTGGCCGCTGTAGTTGACCACAGGCCTTTTCTTGTGTGAAGCAGTTGGCTACGATGCTGTGTATGCTGCAGTTGGCTTCAGAACGTCGCATCACACCCGAAAGGTAGTTGTTGGAGAGGTCTGCTTTGATGCCCGAGAGTTTTACAAGGGGGCCTGTGAGGTAGTTGCGCGAGAGATCGCTGCAGGGGGTAGGGGAGAGAGAAAGAAAGGTGTAATCTCAAAAAGAGATGGATGAAAAATAAAGATAGCAGGAGAGAATAAGGGAGAAGAGAGGTCAATGGAGAGTGAGCACGGGTTTGGACTGGCATCGAGAGGAGGAAAATGGCAGAGAGGGGAGGAGAAGAAGCTAGAATACAGCATTTAAATATGATTACTGTATCATAGCTTGTCTACTCGTAGTTTTTGTGGGTTGGATGTTTCACCAGTATCCCAACCCTACCTAGATGTGATCAGGCAAAATCTCCAACCCACCAATTGAAACTTTCAGCAGATCTGATCTGACCAAGCATTGCCCTTTGACTTGGCTCGATCAACACCATTTTGACGCATATGATTTTTGAGAATTCTAAAAAACCATATGCCCCCCTTCAGATTTAGTATTGAGGACTTGAACATAGAGCCATGAGCAGGCTGGTAGGCCCGGCCAAAGTGGATGGGGTCGACTACACCCGCCGGTTCAGCCAGGTTCCACCAGAACCGGACCATGTGCATTGCCTTGTTATACAGGTTTTACAGACTTGCGAGGTGAGGATCTTTATTGCAGGGAGGATTGACGCAGTGAGGTGATGAGTCCATCCATGCACGACCTTAGCATACCAATAAGGAACGATCCGTTTATAGTGAAACACAGCGTTCTGGGAAACGGGAAGATGTCGCAATTTGAATTGGCCGACGCGAATAAAAAAAGACGACTCATGTAAACAGAACACCTCACTAAAACATGTCACGATTCTATTCCGTTTACTCGTACATTCTGTGACAAAAGGGGTGCCAATGGGTGCAGAGGGCACAGAAGAGCCAGGCAGACGGGAATCAGGAGGAGCAGAGGGGGGGGGACGGCAAAGCCAGCCAGCAAAAGAAGCGCAGAGAGGCACAAGGAGCATGGAAAGAGCTGGCAGAGTGGGTGCATTTGGAGGCACACGGAATACGGCTAAGCAAGCCCGGGGTGGAATACACGTGGGATACGTACGTGGTTCTTCTAGGATCTTGTAGGGGAGTGAATTAGAATAGTTGAAGGATTTTAAAACATTATTACCCCCCACCAATAAAGTTATGGTTGTAGGATTAGGGCAGGGTTGAGATAATCTCGATTAAAGGTGAGCCAATATTTTTTGGAGTTCATTAATTTTCCTTGAGGGTCTATGATCTATTTAGGCCAAAGATGGATTTCCAACCACAAATAGGGTTGACTGACCCTAGATAGGCAACCAAAATAAGGTCGGTTGCGTAAGGGCGCGTAACCATTTTGCATTTTACGATTTCGACGGACAGTCCGCGCAAAACGAAGCGGACGGTCCTATTATCGAGAACGAGACCGTCCAAAATGAAGTTTTGCAACTTCGGACTGTCCGAAAGCGAATGTG